GGTAGCCTTACTGAAATCTTATATCGATATTTTCAATAATTAATTGATCGTTCTTTATCTTGTTTTCATACGATAAGAAATAGTAATTAGAAAAACTGATGTCTAGCTTAGTCTGTAAAAACATTAATTTTCTCTCTCATAACAGAAGTACATTTTTAGATGGAAATTAGAGTATACGATATAGCTCGACCATTGTTTATTTATGAACAATAGTCCGTTACACAGTTCCCTGCGCCATCTTGAAAGGTAGCCATGCTTTTGCATCAAAGCCAGACGAACGGTAAGCTTGCAATGATAGAGACCTTTTTTAACACCTTGGACAATTAGTCACATGTCTCTATCATTATTGCAAGCTCACCGTTCGTCTCGCTGCGATGCAAAGGCACGGCTACCTTCCAAGATGGCGCAGGGAACTGAGAGAGGGACTATAAAAAACAATAGTTTTTATTTAAAATGTCACTATGTAACGAAAACCATTTTCCAAGTTAATTCAATTTTTTGATTATTTGAGCTCTGAATCTTATAGAGCTTTTTTGGAGCAGTTTTTCTTTTCTTGCAGCTAAAACAAACTTGATATTGTCTGGGAGTAGAGTCACATTAAACGGACAAGCACGGGTGAGTTTCATGCCTGTAGATTGTACGTCCACTGATACAAAAAAGCTTCGGTATTTGCAAACATTTGCCATTTCATAAGCAAAGCTTATATTAGATTTATGTGTTCTAGTAATTACGAAAATGCACTCTGATCGACTAATTTTCGATACACTTTCTTGTCCAAAGTACTTTGGATGAGGAGGAGCAAGTAATCTCGTAATATTTAAAGATTGCTGTTTGTGTTGAGATTGTATTGAACACATACAAAGTTTCAAGATGTTTCGATCTGCACAAGCTTTGTACTGGCCATACATCGACATACGGTCGTATTGAAGAAATTTGAGGTCCAATGAGCGTTGCGCTGTAACGTCACGTGACTCAACCATCACATTGAATGCGTCTTCACCACTACCACTACCAGCAGGCACGTAGATCATAATGGATGTGATTAATATCCCACGAGACGCGACACGTCTCTCGCGCACTTCCTTGAAGAGAGTTGCTCTAAGTCGATTACACGATCGAGTCCGGTAAAGTTGCAAGGTCGAGTTCTCTTTAGTCTGTTTAATAAGCTTTGTCTCTATTTGGTTATTTAAGTATCCTAACGCGAACTCAACTAATATCATTTTCATATCATCGTTGGAGGTAGGATTATCCCATCCTTCACACACACACAGGTTAGGCAATCGAAGTTCAATGTCCTGACAAGTGCGCTGTGCTGATATGGGGGTAAACAGACCAGTCGGAGTAACRGGTCCATGAAGAGGTTTAGTCAAAGCCATTATTGAATGATGYAAGTCTATGATGTTGACCAATCGATGCTGGTTGATTCGAAGAGCATCCAGAGCCTCGTCACCCAAACGTTGAGCTACTTTATTTGGGACGATGAGAAAAAGATGAGGATGAAACATTTCAAATCGCCCCTCTAAGGTTGAAGTATAGCTAGTGTAAGTATTGCCGTGATCTGATAAGATTACCGTCAAAGTGTCTTCACTCATAGACAGTTGAGTGACAAATTGAACAAGAGCAGGGTCTAGTGACTGGATTCTACGTCCAATGTGGTCATGTCCTACACTTAGACTCATGTAAGACAGTAATGGTAATGCAGTAGGGGTTGATGTGATGACTTTAATGGTGTCCAATGTGTACTGCAGTAAATAGGAATGGTGAAAACGACCATCGTAGCAAATCTGGTCACCTGGTGGTCCCATAAATGGTGTATTGATTCCATACACATATTCAAGAATTTCACATCCCGCGTGAGTCAGTCCTGCAAATGAATGGGAACAATTTTACTGAGTGCAGAGATTTTGTGAAAGCGCAGATTTTAGTTAGTCACTAAACTTGATCATAATACTGAAGTAGAACAGTAAGAGAGCATCCTTTGACACCCTTGGATGGTGGTGGTGTTGTGTGGTATGGTGACGGTGTGTGGTGATGTTGGTTGTGTGTGACGATGGAGGCGGTGGCTAGAGCCATACAACAAGTTAATATTAATCAGTATAATTTTAGGTTCGAACATCGAGTTTCTCGCGCTGTTATTGATCTAGCGACCATTGATTCTGAGACGATAATCGCTGCTCAAGCGGTGATCATGAGGTGTTCCAAAGTTTGCCAAAGTAGGAGTTATACTAAAACGTTTCGACTTTAGACTCAACAATTATTTCCCTCAGGCTCAGTGATTGCGGTAAATATTGGCCTTGCTGCTCGAAGACTCGGTAAATATTATGTTTACTTCTAATGCTAATACTTCTAGTGAAAATAAAGAAAAGGTTTTCAAGCTACAGAAAAGAGCTGCAAGGGTTATCCTGGATGCAGACCTCAGTGAAAGATCTAACGTGATGTTTAAAAAATTAAAGTGGATACCTATTAGAGATGAAATTTCAATCCGAAAATGTAGCTTAGTCTACAAAAGGAACAATGGACTGACACCAACTTATATAGATGATGTGTTAGTTAGAAATTCAGATGTCCACACTAGGCAAACTAGGCATTCAGGGTATAACTTGGTTTGTCCCAAATATAAAAGGGAAGGTGAGGGAGGGAAGACATTTAGGGTAACAAGCAGTAAATTATGGAACACTATTCCTACTAGTCTCCCTCGCATCCGTTTTTAGTGTTGGTCGTCACGCAACGTCTCCCCGACACTAAAAACAGATGCGAGGGAGACTATATTCCTACCGACATTAAGAGAAAACCGTCTTTTCAATCTTTTAAATCGGCAATTCGTAAATAATATTTTATGAAGAAATAAGGCTTATATCTTTCCTTTATTTTGTTTTTAATGTTTTTATCATTATTGCGTTTTTGGATCTCATTAATTAGTTGTCTAATAAGTTCAATCAGTTTTATAGATATGTGGATTTTYTTGGGTATGGATTGGAAATGGGATTTCAGTGAACAGGATAGATTATATATGGGTAGGGCGTAGTATAGATATAGTTGGGGACTTAATGTATTGTTGGGTGGGATGGGGCATCTATTTTTATTATATACTTATAGTTTTCGTGTATTTTTTTATATATATTAATATTTAGTATTTTAGGGCCATGAGTTTATCAGTTTCCACTGTCAAATGTCCCCTCTTGAAATAAAGTTTATTATTATTATTATTATTATTATTATTATTATTATTATTATTATTATTATTATTATTATTATTAATGATGAGGTAAAACGCAGCTGGACTTTTGTTTTGCTTCGTTGAGTTCTAGTACAAAACAAGCCAGTCCGCGTTTATCATAATGCTCACCTGAGTGATCAATAAAATGTTCTTGCAGTCTTTTAGCAAGATTTGCCCAGCTTCCTGCTAGTAAATCCAACATCAGACCCCAGATTCCTTTCCAACATAAGTCTTCTTGCCACATAGTCTGGTAACCCGCTCTGTGAAATGCTCCAAACATGAAACCCGGGTTGACTGATTGGCTGGAAGCAGACCTGTTAAGATCAAGTAGTCTACCATTGAATAACGCATGAGTATTCTCCGTAGTATGACCATGAACAGCTTGAAATAGTTCAAAGTCAAATATCATGGCAGGAGCTAAATGGGATTCATTTCGCCATCGTTTGAACAGCTCGATAGTCTTGGGTAGCGATCGATAGAAGTGGGCCCTCGATACTGAGTCAATTAGAACAATATTGACATTCAAGAGATTTTGATCTCGAGTCTTGGAGGCATTTTCCTTCATGGTTAATTGTGGGTCTATTTGAATGATCTGGGATATTCCTGTTTTGGTATCTTTTGAAGTGCATCGAAGGACAACGAAGTGAAATTTCTGCTTGATATTTTCTCTGATGATAACCATTAGTGCTGCTTCCAAGTCAGTAATGTTTAGATATCTTCCAGCTTCTGTTATCTGACCATTACTGGGATTCATGTTCAACACTTGGATGGTTTCATTTTCGTTTTGTTCCATGCAAATCGAATTATCACAACTGACTCTAAAGTTGACGTGATCTTTTGGACCCTTTAGTAGACTTTTCAACTCGCACACTCTCTTGCTGGACAACGCTTTGCACTTGGTTAACGCTGGATCCAGTTTGTACAACATCCTCGCATTTTCACACGATTCGTTGCTCGCTTGATGCGGTAAACAACTGCCATATTTCCAGGTCTGTTCTTCAGGAAGAAAATTTTTCGGGCAGCCACATTTCCACGAACTTTGAATTTTGTCAGTCACTTTAAGCATAGGTTTTCCATCAATGAGAAACATGAATATGAAAACAAGACAGGAAAAGGAGAACAGGAAAACCCATTTGTTCACTTTTCTTCTTGTTGTCCGCAGTGCAACTTTCCTCAGTTGCCTAAAGGCCAAACCTATCAGCTGTCGGATTGAAAACGCCATATTTCGTCTGTGCCGTACTAAAACTGACGAAGGTATTCAAAGTCAGTTTGTGTTTGTGCGGGTCCACGGCCTTCCTAATCTGTCTTCCTTATTTCTTGTCTATCCAAAAGAACCATGGACGTAGAAGCCACAACGTTTGGTGGGGGAACTAAAAGAAAAAATAGGTTGTTTGAATTTAAGGCTCCATTTTCAACCCCTTTACTATTTCACTATTGTCTTTATATAAAATATGGTTTGAGTGTATACCATATCATGAAGAATGTCGTAAGAATTGCACAGATTTGTCAGTTCAGTAGACCTCAGTAGACTGCAGACCTACTAAACTTTGTACTAATTAGTACAATTTTGTTAGTTAACTTTTTAATGAATACATTGTATGCACTCTAACATTCAGTGCATTTACCTTTTGTATCTTTATGCCAGCTGAATTAGCTAAACTTTTCTAGCTTCTATAATATGCAAGTAGTTTAGTTTTGCTAAGTTGTATTGCGTTAGTTGATAATGTTCTCAGTAACACGTTTAGTTAAACCACTTTAAACCTTGAGCTTAAACTATAATAATCACAATAATATATTAGAGTACTATTAGTCACTAAATAGCTACCATTTTTCAGTATCAACTTTGTTTATATTTCATGGTTTTACCACATGTGCTCTAGAAGCATAGCACACTGACTGTCTCGCCATGCTATTATAATCACAATAATATGTTAGAGTACTATTAGTCACTAAATAGCTACTATTATTCAGTATCAACTTGGTTTATATTTCATGGTTTTACCGCATGTGCTCTTAGCATAACAAAAACTGTCTCCTTGCTTTACAAAGCCTTAAATGAGCCTATTGGAAATGAAAACCCCCAAAATATAGAACAATTTACAATTCTACTAAATTTCTAAGCATATCGAAATACGATCAATGTCCCGGTACCTTAAATCTTACACTACAAATTGATTAGATGATTTCCTAAATATATGTGTTATTAATGACGATTTGATCGAAGGTATAGACATAGTGGTCTGATTTTTTTAAAGAAAGCGGGAGCGAGTTCCATAGCTTTGCAGCATTTACTGAAAACCATAGGTTATCATGTTTGACTTAGGAAGAACTATTAGATTTTTGTCTGCTGACTTTCAGAGAGCGGAAAGGTTTGTAAGGAGTAAGGAGTAAGGAGTTCAGTTAAATAATCCGGAGTCTGATTATGAAGAGTCTTGTAAACCAACGTAAGTATCATCTAAAGTCAAATCGACTGAGATCTAACTGTCACCGACTGTAAAACAATCTTGCATGCAACAATTACTATATTATTATGTTACCCTTATCGACTGAGCATTTGGATATAGCCTATGCGGCGACGCCCTTCATCTTCCGTGTCTGCTTCCTTTCAACTCGCATGTTCCTTACTTTCGTGCCTGGAGTCGAAAATAGGCTCCTGATAATCCACCAAGAAACGAATAGCTGCTTTTACGATACTGTAGGCAAACTTTTATGAACTTTGTTTTTCACGTGTAAGCCTAGTGCTGCAAGTAAAATCTAATAATCGTTTGATTTTAATCCTATGTATTGTTTCTATATATTGTTTCAACCACAACGCGACTGCGCGATGTTCGTTACGTCAATAATACTAACAACCGCCAATAATAACTGTGATATTGAACACTAGAGAAAAACGTGTGCGCAAGCTTGCCTTTCAGCACGTGTTCTAAAAATGTAGAAAGAAAGTAAATGTCAGTTTTCTCCGAGCATGCAAAGAAATTCGTACAAGTTTACTTTTGTGATACCAAGATACTGTATTAATAAAGATACTTTGAAGGGACTTGGACCCGGCCCTGTACGCGTTACCTCAGCACCTCATACTGCGTTCCAATCAAGTTTCAAAAATKTCGAAACTAGATGGTGATGATGGTGGCAGTGATTTGCATACTTATGTTGTAACACATCACAGCTCAACTGCTGCACAACTTTAGACGTCTCGGTGATGTATTTATTATGGCGACGTTGACCATGATGATAAAGGTGGTTATGATTTTGATGATGATGATAATAATGATGGTGATGTTGGTGGTGAAGATGATGATGATAATGATAGTAATGGTGATGATCTTGATGTTGGTGATCATGATGATGATGGCGATGATAGCAATGATGTTGATTATGGTGGTTGAAGATGATGGTGATAATAATAATAATAATGATAGTAATAGTAAAAATGGGAGTTGATATTGAGATGCCCATTGACACCGCGTCACGCAGTACTCAAGAAAGGTCGGCAAGGCGATTGAAGACCTTGTGGGGGATAAGAGCCGATCCATCATCACTCTTCACATGTCTGTTATAAAAACGGTTCGCTTCAGATTGCACAAATTGTTCAAAATTTTAAACCGAACATTAGGTATATAGTTTAGAATTTGTGTTATATTTACTAGCGTTTCATTTATCAGTTAGTTCAATTGACTGCATCTAAATTTAACCAGTATTTTACTTCAATTGCCAAAAACATATGTGAACATCTAAGTAATACCGACTTGCCTGCAGTCTTGACGCCACGAGTCGATCAGATATTCGTGATACAAGAAGTTAAATCAACCTTTGTGCGTTTGGAATTGTCAAAGCTAAAATCAAAAAAGGCAACAGGACTAGATGGACTCACGGCTAAGTTATTGAAAGATGCCGCACCAGTGATTGATAAGCCTATTGCTCATCTTCTCAACTTATGTTTTTCGACGAATAAAATCCCCGCAGATTGGAAAGAAGCAAAAGTTACCCCAATATTTAAATCAGGAAAGAAGAATAACGAAAATAACTACAGACCTATTTCTGTTCTTCCGTTGATCTCTAAGTTAATGGAAAGAGTTGTACAACTTCAACTTCTCTCCTTTTTGACTGAGCACAATGTACTGTCCCCATTTCAGTCTGGGTTTCGAAAACAACACTCGACCGAAACTTTAGTTGTCCATCTGGTAGACCACATTCTTGAACACATGGAAAAACAAGAAATCACTGGGTCCATCTTCATCGACCTAAAAAAGGCCTTTGATCTTGTAGATCATCAATGCCTTCTCCACAAGTTAGAACACTATGGCGTGAGAGAAAGTGGTCTAGAATGGTWCTGTGACTATCTCACCACTCGTACACAAAGAGTTAATTATGGAAAGGAACTTTCATCCATCTTTCATATCGATTACGGTGTACCTCAAGGGTCAATACTTGGGCCTWTACTGTTTGTCCTGTTCATTAACGACTTGCCTCAATGTTTACAGAAATCACATATTGGTATGTATGCAGATGATACAGTGATATACACCTCWGGGGCTGACGCAAGTGTTGTAGAAGAAACTCTCCAGCAAGATTTGAAGAGATTGGAGAATTGGATGACAAGCAGCAGATTAATACTAAATCCAAGCAAGACCAAATTGATGCTTTTTGGTGCAAGGCAAAGATTACAAGGAGCAGAACTTAGAATCCAGCTTTAAGGAAAGAACGTTGATAGAGTCTTAGAATTTAAGTATTTAGGAATCTATTTAGATGAAAGTTTAAATTGGAATGTACACGTTGACGCAATGTGCAAAAAGGTTAACAAACGATTAGGTTTGCTTTCTCGCATAAGATCTTGTTTAACAGTAAAAGCGTCCAAATGTGTATATAATAGCTTGATATTGCCAATACTTCATTATACAGATACAGTTTGGGGGGAACTCTCAGCTGGAAATAGCCAGCGACTCCAAAGATTGCAAAATAGGRCAGCTCGTATTATTATAAATAGGGAGAGTTCTCAGGAAGCTCTACAAATATTGGGATGGGTAGACTTAGCCAAGACAAGAAAAATGCATAAATGCATATTAGTATTTAAATGCCTTCATGGCCTAGTTCCTTCATATCTTAGTGATTTCTTTATAAGGAATAGTAGTTTTCATACATATAATACTAGAAGAAAAAATGACCTGCA